TCCACATGATCAATAAGATGTATTTTACAAAGAAAAATGAACATTTCTACCAGTAGAGTTTCAAAGCTATTAGAGATCAACCGCATAATCTCTCCAGCTGGACAATAAGACAAAGGTCGATCTGTTAAATACTTAAAATCTAAATGTACATTGGGGATAAAATGGAGGAAAAGGATGCAAATAAACTAAAGAAGAACTAGACACTAGACATATAATAGATTCTGCATACGGTCCAGGAGGAGCATCTATCTGCTCCTAAGGTTGTAGATCTGTTCCTTCAGAGGGAACTAAAAATAGAGCCTAAAAGGAATTATAAAATATTTGAGCCAAAACAACTTCAACTACCTTTTCATGTACTGCATAAAGAAAGGAGCAACAAACAGAGAAAATAAAGCATCTGCATCATGTTTGGCCTTTACTCCTTTGAACCTGAGCAGCTATAGCTCCTCTTAAATTTACCCTGCACTTCCAATCCAGCCCAACTCTATTTATAAGTACTTAAACTAATAAGCAATGGCACTAAAGCAAAAAACGTAAAAATACAGCAAATAAGATGATTCAAACTTGTATTAATAAAAGGTTAACTTGTGTTACATCTAAACTTCTTTTCTCTCAGATAAAACATCTGATGTATGTTGAACAAATACAAATCTTAACGTTATTTACATTACTGCAGCTGCATTTGCAAATTCAAACACCTACAAATATGTTTTTATTGACAGGTATCTTACCCCATACTCCCCCTTCACAATAACATACAGTGTTATGTTTGTTTTGCATATAAAATACTGATAGAAAATTTGGATATATGGTTGAAACAGAACAAAATATATATAAAAAAAAAAACAACCTTCAGTCACACTTTTATAGTTGTTTTATTTCTGATTTCAGTTGAAGTTCACAGATAAGGCAGAAGAAAATGTTTTCAAAGAAATGAATAATGTTTATTACCACCATAGTCACTGCTCAGAGGAAAAAACATTTATGTATGTATTTAATAATGAATAATTTACAGATCATAAAAGTTTAGAGGAACTGTAAAAAGTTTATGTTTTGTGTGAGTAGGATAGTAATTCCGAGTATTACTATCAGGGGATAAGGTCTGGAGAAGGTAGACCTGCATCAGCTGTTTCTCCTACATAAGTTGAAGTCTGATTGACCATGACATCACTTTCTCAGCATGGCCCCAGCTCAGAGACACTCACCATCCTTGACTGGTCCATTCTACAGCGGCAAATTTTAAAACGACTGAGGACATCCTGAGCTCAACAGAACATCGTGTCTGAAGCCTGACAGAGGCCAGGTTCTGCTGATCCTCCGGCAGAGGTTCAGAGACAAACAGGACAAAAAACCATTCACACACACTCACCCGTAAGGAGAAAAGCCAATTAACCTAACAGTCATGTTTTTGGACTGTGGGAGGATGCCGGAGTACCCAGAGAGAACCCAGGCATGCTCAGGGAGAACATGCAAACCCCATGCAGAAAGACTTCGGGCCGGGAATCGAACCTGCAACCTTCTTGCTGCAAGTCCACTGAGCAGCCCCCTTTAGAGAACATAAACATCAAACAAGTGGATTTTTGAGGCTTACCTGGAGACATTGATTTTAGGTGTATTCTGACAGCCAATCAGAAAGCAGAATATGCATCCTTCTTTTAAATGGAAATACTATTTAAAATTAGTTCTCCTTTTCATATAAATTATGTGATATCAAATCATGGAAGTAAAAACAAATTTGTATGAAAAGCCTCGTTACTAAAAACTGAGCAAATTTTCGGTTTCTGTTAAGTCATAATAATGAGCTTTAAGGTTCTGACCAGAAGAGGGCGCCCCAAGCTGATTTATTTTTGAAAGCCTGACATCTATCTTAGAATTGAGTTTCTCCATCTTATCTTAATTCAATAATATATATAATATAATATATATATATAAATATTATCTATATAATATTATTGGAGAAAAATAAAAATGCCCTCCTTTTATATCTTTAAAATAACAGATTTTAAAATATATTTGTATATCATTGATAAACTAGGAAAAAGAATATCCTAGTAGTGTTTTTTGTTTTGCTTTACTTATTTTGTTTTTCTACTTGTTTTCTATATTTATTTTTTTCTAGCCTGTGCTACAGATTAAACTTATGTTTTCTAAGTTGTATGTGATTTAAACAAAGCTTTAAAAAAAATCCTTTAAAAAAAAAAGGAAACATCAGGAAAAACACCCACCCATTGCCAAAAAGTTTAAAAAAAGTTTTTTATTGTCATCTCAGGAATACAGTTGACTGCTGTGCACAGCACATACGTACAAAAATAAAAGGAAAACCATTTGTAATATAGTTTTTTTCTCACTTATATTTTTTTCCAGAAACAAATGATTGGAGAAGTCTGTTTTCAAACTAATTTACAATCATTTCAATAATCTGAACTAAGGCAGAAGGTGAGGTATATGTTAAAAAAGAGGAGGGGGACTCAGAGGAAGCACTCTCCCCTCAGTGCAGGAATAGAAAACTGAGAGATAAACACAAAAAAAAGGCTGCCGGCTAACAGGGAGACACACACGACCCAAATCTGATCCCAGAGCCAGCCGCTCACCTCCCGTTCCCTGCAGACCAACACATTACAAAGCCAGAACAAGTCCAGACACTGGATCTTTAATCCAAGGGGTAAGACTTACCTCGCTCATTCAGAACTCTACATGCATCATGAGGAATTAAAGAAGAAAAGCAATGTTTTCTCATCGGCGAAATACCGCTTAGTCCTGCTATGGTACACAAACTTCCCTGCTTCACAAAAACATGCAAAAGTTGGAAACACTAAAATCCCTTTAAACTTTCCATAATCTGACAACAAATTTAAGATGGTTTAGACGGGAAAAATATATATATATATCAGCTCATTCTTTCCAGTTTCCACCCTGCTAATATGCAAATCATTTCTCTGAAGCACAGTCAGATGAGCCTGAAATAACACAGAGAGGCTGACAGGAACACAGTCCCTCAGATCTTCATTTTCAGCTTTGTTTAGGGAAAGTCAGGAAAAAGAAAATCAGCTCCGACACAGAAAACTGCATTCAGTGAAAAAGAAAATTCTAATTTCTCTAAATAAATGAGAAAAATCAGGCTCTAAACAAGAAGCTACAGGTGAGCAATCTCTGACAGGCTCACATTCAATCAAACCTAGATGACATCCTGAGAGTGACTGGATTCAGGGCTTCTCTCCAGCAGTTCTGCTGGAACAATGCGACAGTTTTTACTGGACCTTCTGCTACAAGTGATCCATCTCCTCTTCGTCCTCTGAACACGCTGCTTCCAGGCTTCCCTCTCTTCTACCAAAAACAACCAGCAGCATCGACATGGCAGTGACGCTGGAGAGGACAGGAGTAGAATAAGACAGGCGGAGTCCTGCTGCTTTTCCTCATCCTCTCACCAAGCTGCCCTTCCTCCTCTTTAACGCAAACAGCCATGAATGTCATGAAAAAGTATTTACCCCCTGCCACAGCGTCTCAATCACATTTACGTCCTGACTTTGACTAGGCCATTTTAAACACCTTATTTTCTTTTTACACATTCGCAGACGGACCTGGTGGCTGCTTTGGAGGATTGTTGTAAAACAGAACCCAAAATAAGGGTTGGAATTCATAGTTCCATCAATTACCGACACTTTCCAGTTTCTGAAGCAGCATAAAGGCCCAGACCATGTCACTACCAGCACCATGTTGGACTATAGGGAGGACGTTTTTGTTCTGAGATCCCTTTTTAGTTTTACTCGTGATGTACCTTCCAGACAAATTCATTTTGTCTCTTTATTGCACAACATATTTTCAGCAGTGGTTCTGGTCTTGGACAATTCTGCTCAGTTTCTCTCTTATTGTTTAAATATGACCTTTAAACTTAACTGAGGAATTGGTGCCTGCAGAGCAGGATTGCTCTGGATTCTCCTGGGACATCCAGGGTGAGTTCTTGGAGTAATTCTGGTAGATCAGCTGCTTCTGTGAAGGTTTTTCACCATTCTATGTGTTCTCCATGTTTGGATCATGGTTCTAACTATGGTTTTCTGAGCTCTTAAAGCTTCAGAAATGGATCTGTAAGCCTTTCAGACTAAAACCTAGGAGTCTTTGCTTCTCATCTGTTTTTTAATTTCTTTATGTCAGGACATTATGTGTTACTTTTTGAGATCTGTTAGTCTACTTCCTGTTGTGAGACAGGTCCTTTTTTTCCTACAGCTTCAAAGCTGTGGTTAATGACGGTTAATTCATGATTTAATGAGACGGGTGTAATTTAACCCCAATGTCAGATTCATCTGTATAGATTTGTTTCCTAATAAATACAAAAAAAATAAAAAATTAGACCCAATTTTTCGATCAACTCAGCTTACCTGAGTCTGATATTAATAGTTGAACATTGATGTGAAACATCGATGGATGACTAGAATAAAAATGGAAGCATGTAGGGGGTAAATACAGCTCTGTGTAATTACAGCTATAATAATGAACTAAAATCCAACTAAACTGAAAAGTAATGGACTGAAAACACAAGTGATAACTCACAGCCTCGTCTTTTCTAAGAAACAGCAGAAACAGGTGCAGAGCTCGGGGTCAAAGTTCGCCACGAGGTGGACGTGAACCAAATGCCAGCCTGAAAAACACGGAGGCAGACACCAAATCTCTGACCTCGCTTCTAAAGCGGCTCACATGCCCAACATTCTCAGAGGCTGTGCATCCACCGTCTGGTCTGACCAAAACAGCCAGGAGCCCGCCAGTCTGATGGCCGCTCAGACCCCAGCATTAAACGTGACCTCGCCAGGTCACGCAAACAATCAGAGCACCGCTCTTCCTCTTTATCTCCTTCAAGAAAAGATCAGCATCTGAGAGAAGGGTTGGAGTATTTCATGAATTCAAGTACCTCATGCTGCATGAAATGTTATAAATCAAACAACAGATATAGCTTCAAGCACTGAGATCAACAATCATCTGCAGCTGATCCAGGAACTTTTCTGTTTTTCCCAGACAAAGGTGTGTCTTTAGTTCCACTCATTTGAATAACCAGTCTCTACTTTTAGTGGCATCAAACCTGTCAGATAGCTTCCTTTGACTCTTAAATAATAAACATAAATAAATAAATAAGGATAAGTTATGAGTCTATAAAGTATTTTAAAAATGGCTATTCTAACATCTGTATTATTGTGCTACGATGACTTGCTCTCAATTCAGAGCAAATGACCTGAAACTATTCTATATGCATACTTCAAATAAAAGCACCCATACATACAGTACGCAGTCACTCTGAGGCTGGCCTCGGTAGCTCTGAAAATATAACCTTGGATTGTCAAAGCTCTCTTGGACATAATGTAAGGAAGGGTAAATCTAACTTTCCAAGAGGCTCCATTGGATCCTGTGCAGCATAGAGTCTCAGTTACTCAATCAATCTAACTATAGAAGGAGAATAAAAGTGGAGAAACTTCAGACCCTCGAGGAATTGGGCTAAAGCCCCCGGTGGTGTCTTGGGCAGCCATGACTTGCGTATCATTCCTATTTTTGACTTGAGCACCACATTTCTCACATGCAATGGTGAGGGGGCCGTAAGAAGGAATTCAAGGCACAGCCACCTCATGACGCAGCAGGAAAAACCACCAACAAATTTGCAGGAGCTCCAGTTGCCCCGACAGTAACAGAACAATCCCCCCTCAAGTCTTTTTTTAGGGATCACAGCTAAATATGTTAAAGTAAACAGGCTTTATGGAAACTTCATGTGCATTTCTACTTTTTCCTCTCATTACGGTTCCTTGAGGTAATCCATCCCACTTTGCAAACCGTTGTCCACTGGTAGGGCGCAGCCTGGACCGTTCCAGCGAGCACCAGGGAAAACCAGAGGGCCAAATCACCGCTCCCTCTTCCCTTCCCATCACCAGACGACGAAACTTATGTAAGCAGCTCAGAATGCATTTCAGTAATTTCTAAAACAAAGTCAGCTTCCCAAATATACATAAAAAGTTGAATAAATATCAGATATATCCGCGTTTCTTTCTTTTGAAGTCCATGTTGTGGTTTCGTGTTTGTACGTACTTATGTGGTTTTTGTGTTACCTGGGATAAAAATAACTCCACATGTGCAAATAAGTTTGTTATTGCCAGTTTTTTTTTTTTCTCTTCTGATCATATTCGGGGTAAGAAGTGCGTCACAGTCATGGCAGTAGTGGCCTTGTTGCCCCTCTTCACGCGGCCATGCTTGCTCAGGGCTATGTAGAATCCTCTGTACACCAGAGACTCGTAGGCATTGTAGTTGTTGGGGAGCAAACTCTCCTTGAATTTACACTCATCATGGAAGACTGTCTGCAGGGAACAAAGACACATGGAAGGAAGACTGTTAGAAACATGAGCGGAAACAAACTTCACCAGAGTTAAGAGCCAAAAAAAATCTAAAAACATTGAAGGTACAAAATAGAAATACTGGACAATAAGCAGATATTTGGTTTTAAAATAATTTTTTTAAGAAACTGTGATCAGCCCTCTAACACAGGAAGATACTACAGTATATGGATGATAAGTCTTCACTAAGAAATGAGAGCAGCAGCCTGAGGACTCCGTCTGAAGCCGATTCACCAGCCCTGCTGTACAAAGTTTAGCTTCTGCAGATCTCAACATTATAAAGGTGATGCTTCTGCCACAAGCAGAAAGGTTTTTCTCTTAGCTAAAGTCTTCTATAGAAGCTTTTAAAAACTGTGTGCAATCCTGTCCCTAAAAGATTATTATTATTCCTTTCTTTAATGCTGTTTTAGCACTTTTCTGTCTACTTTTAAAAACGGGTGCAGACCTTTCTATTTGAGGTAAGAGTGGCTCAGGTTATCCTGCGCATAGTTATGCCACTATGGGCTTAGGGCGCTGGAGGACATAAGGACCACTCTCATTGCTTCATTCTATCTCTATTTTCCAATTCTGCAATATTTGTTTGTTCATTACCAAACTTAATGTTCTCTCTGCTCTTTCTCGCCATTCTAGCTTCATCTGGCCATCCTGGGGGTAAATATCAGCTTAGATGCCATACTCAACAGCTCCACAGACAAAACTATGAGCTAAGGTTTAATTGTGACTATATGTTTTCTCTCACTAATCCATTTTGCCATGAAAACTGGCTCAGAGCTCATTTACCCAATTGTTTCATTCCTAGACAGAGACACCTGGGGAGTCTCTGTCAACTGTGACCATATCTATCTAACACATAGAGTAATTATGGATCAGTTTTTCTAAGTTCCTTTTGTGTGTCTGCCTGTTTTCTCAAACCCACATTCAGCCTCTGAAGAAGACCACTCTCTGAAGCTGGTTCTGTTGTTGGTTTCTTCCTATTAAAGGGAGTTTTTCACCTCCACTGTCACTGCATGCATGCTCCTGCAGGGGATTGCTGCAGAGTCACCAACATATTGCAAGCAAATATCTGCTGTTGCCACATGCTCACTCATTTAGAGTGAAACCTACAAAGTCAATGGCTCAATACAATCAGGTTTTCCTTAAAGAAACTGTATATGACTGAATTGTTTATTTAAAGAGCCTTGAAGTGACACGTGTTGTAAATTGGTGCTATGTAAATAAACAGAAGTTTTCAATCAAGCTGTTTTTTCTTCATACGTGCTGTGTCCATTTTGATTTTGCTGGATCACCAACATGTGATGGACTGGCCGTGTCATTTTGTTATCATACCTATAGCTGATTCCTCTGTGGTGGACAGAAGGACAGCAGAAGAGAACAGATGCGTGGAACAGCTAGACTCACACAGCAGACACACCAAATATGGAAACATTTGAGACTCTTTTTTCTTTACTAAAAGTTTGACTTTCAAATTTCAGAGAGGTTGCTAGTTTCCTACAAGAAAACTATTAATACTGCCACAATCAACACAAAGAAAGTAGCACCGCATCAAATAACAGCCAACAGGACCTAAAGACCCCTAACCAGAAACTAGGGGTTTTAGTCAGAAAGTACTCTGGGATCTTGTTGTCAAACAGTAACAGTACTGGAAACCAGTACTGTTACTGCCTGTAGATCACGGGGGCGCTGCTCCCTTGCATTAAGAACATCGCGGACAGGCGCTGCCTATCCCGGGCTCACCAGATCCTCTCCGACCCCACCCACCCCAACCATGGACTCTTTTCTCCCCTGGCGTCTGGCAGAAGGTTCCTCAACATCTTTTGCAGAACTACCAGACTACTGAACAGTTTCATCCCCCTGGCCATCAGACTGTTTAACGCCACATAACACTCCTCCACCCCCCCACCCCCAAACATCCATGGACATGGACAATACACGCACCTTAGTTTAGTTTTGTCTTAAATGTAATGTTTCGTTTAGCAATAACTCAACTTATTGATGTTACTTCTTGCAATAACTCAGTGCAATATATATGCATATATATATATATACTTCTTTACCCTGTATATAGCTAGCTCTTAGCTCTTATTTATAGAAAACATATTTATTGTGCAGGAATAAGGTCTTAGCTCTGTTACACTGGTAGCCAAGTAATCGACATTTCTTTGTCAAGATTCACCTTGTGTTTTTTGTGCAATGACTATAAAGGAAGTCTAAGTCTCTTAGTCTAAGAAGCTCTGGTGCGAGCCGACAGGTGACAAAGACTCGTAGGTAGGTGTTGAAAAAACCTACCTCAGAGACAGTTCGGTTGCCTTGACCCAGATGACTGTGAATTTATAAAGGCATGATTAGAGGAAAAGGCATTGTTGAGGTTAGAGAAAAAAACTGGTCAATTGGGTGTAGAGAGTAGAAAGACAATAGCACCTTAAACTTCATTTGATTTCAACGAAGTAAAACAGGTATCATTTTTAAGCTGATGGGCTACAGCAGTAGAGGACGGCTACAAAAAACACTAGCACAGGAAAACGAAGCTACAATCTACAATTCCCCCAGAACTGGACCAGATAAACCAGTTTCAGATTCAACAATTCAATGCAATGTGCTGGGTTTCTTTAATCAGAAAGGTTTCTCACCAAACTGATGGATTTAACTTTGCAAAACACCTTGGTGGCTCTGGCAGTGAGGGGACATCCTATAACCAGTGAGATGCTGGGTTTAAGCCCCCTGCTCCACCTGTCTCTCTCAGTTTGTTCTTGGGCGGAACGTTTCATCTGCGCTGCCTGCTGTTGGGGATCAGGAGCCAATTGGTGCCGATTTATGGCAGCTTAGCTTGGTATCATCTGCATGTATCATCTGCAAGGTAGCTGCTTTTAGGATCCCTGATAAAAACACTCTACATATATACAGATTAACTTTAGATTACGTGTTGGAGCAACAAAACTAAACCAGATTAAATGAAAATTGTCAAAGTGTAAATAAATCTAATGATGCAAAGAAAATGTTTGATGAATGACAAAAGCCTGATACGGTAACACACTACAGCCTATGATTGGAACTAGACATTCCATCTTTATCTGACCCCACATTTCTGTTATTTATTGCACTTTCTTTGAATACTTCTCCCTAAAGTTTAGTGGAAAAAAGTTACATATAAATTGTAAATCCATACCTAAATATTGCATCTTTATTGACATGTTTTTTCTGATTAGATTTTTATTTATACTGGTATTCTTAGTGAGATCCAAAATCTAATTTTCAAATTTTACAAACTAACAATACAAGTAGTTAAAACAGTCTAAGACTTAAAAACAAGAGCAACTTGAATATATATATTTATATCTATATTTTTAATAGCAAAAGTTTTAACTCTTGCAGAGCAATCAAAGTGGACAGCTTCAGTTCCTGCAGTAGATTATTTGATGTTGATGGGACAGTTTTCTGCCTCCAATAAATGAAAACATCTGCAAAAAGGAGCCGTGATAAAGATTTAATGACTGCTTCTGATGTCCCCCTTCAGGAGTCATAATGCTATGTCTAATTAGTGTAGAGAATTGAATAAGAAGCTTTGATCATGTATGTTTAAACCTGATGTTCTATTAAATATGATCATATATGAGAGGTTAAATGGTGAATAAAATGTTTAGGAAGCAGTAGCCCATTAACAGCCAGGATGGAAAGCTGAAGGTTTCTATCATCGTGGACAGATTCATTCTTTCCTGATAAATTTATTCTCATGCTCGGGAAAACATTTAAAAGATTTTAGAAATTTCATCCTCTGAAAAAACAAAAGGTTTGTCAATCTTCAGAAGTTTTTTCCATCAACTGGGAACAAGAAACCAACACAGTTCCCTTCAGGTGCTTCCATTACAGGCAGACTGGTTTCAATCTCTGCAAAGATTGAGGAAATAAATGAAAACATCCTGTAGCACATCTAGTGTTTTCCATGTCAGCATGCAGCAGTGTTCAAATGGACTGAGGAACAAAAGCTGCTGGTAACCACCATAACTTTCTAAACTTTGACCTTTTTCAGGAATAAACCTCCAGTCAAAGGGTTACACAGCTCCCATTAAAGCAGCTGCTATGCTGACCTGCCTGCAGCCCAGATCCGCCTCAAACTGGACACTTAACATGTACTGAACTCAAAAAACATCCAACATTGCAATAAATGTTTGCCTGAATACTCCAAAATTTGAAAAGGTGACATCCCCTTTCTTCATGTTCTCCATAAAATATACTTTTACATTAAAACAGCTGATCAGCTCTTGATGATTTCTAAACAATGTAAATATCTTGCATATTTCATGAAATGTATTTTTTTTACAAAACATTTATACTAAAGTTTCCTCTCTGCATCTTTGCAGATGTGTCATAATAAAATAACATTAAGAGCCTGCGATGCTGAGCTGGCAGGAAGCATGTGGCCTAATTCAATCACGTATCAGCTCACCAGCCAACGCTTCATCACTCAGACCCGGATAAGCAGCTGCATTCTGTCTGTCAGATATGCGTCCCACAAGGAGCGAGCAGCCATGTGTCGGCACGCCTCCTCTTAACACAATAAACCCCTCACCCACCGGGGGCCGTGTATATATTCATTACTGTCCTTCCACTGCCTCAACAGGCTCAAACTAGACCTGCTGAACGATTTCTATTGATCCTCATCAATGCCTTCCATATGTATGAGAAACGTTCATAAAAGTGCAGAATATCAATGCAATAAAAGCTCATCCATTCCTCTTCTACCCAATTATCAGAATAAAACAAATGACAGACAAAAGCCTCTAAGATGGTATAATGGGTTAGCCTGCAGACATGTTCGCATAGCTAAAGTATTCATAAACATTTACATTTCATTGAGTCCAAGCAATGAAAACAAAGAAAAAAGGAAATATTTCATGGTTTTCAACGTTATTGAAAAAGAAATCGCACCCCCTCTAGCTGCAGGTGTTCTGGGGTCTGTCTCTTCCAGCCTAAACATCTCAAACTATGCCAGATTGGATAGAGAGCTTCTTAAAACACCAGTTTTCAAGTATTTCTAGGGATTCGTAGTTGGATTTGTGTCTGGACTTTGACTAGGCCATTGTAACCAAAGAATTTTCTATGCTCTAAACCATCCATTACGTCACTGGACAGTTTTTTTTAATGCTTTTTTGGTATTATATACACTCTTTGTATATTGTCTGTTGTATTCTTATCTTTAATGGCATCTTGCTCTAACTGTTTGTACTCTGTTTGTATATATGCTACTGGAACCAGAATTTATGTGAAGGAGTAATCCAAAGGGACAAATAAACTTGAGTCTTAGTGTTCTGCTGGAAGGCGAACCTTCATCCCAATCTCAGGTCTTCTACAGACTCTATCAGGGTTTCTTTCTGGATCATCCTAGTTTAGCTTCATCCATTTTCCATCTTTGTTCCTGTTGAATAAAAGCCTCCTCACAAGATGCAGATGCAGCCACCGTACTTTTTTCCACACATAGGGATTTCCATTTAAAGCCAAACTGTTTTTCTGGCACCTCTGATCAGAGCTCCTTCTTCTGTGTCTTCCATATGGTTTGCAATTAACCGCACAGAAGACGTCCTCTGGATTTATTCTGAGTCCTCTTCCATCAAGACCAGATGATGGAGTTCATCACTAATATTTATCCTGTCAGCAGTTTGTCCCACCTGAGCTGTGAATCTCTGGTGCTCCTACAGAGTGAGCATGGTCATCTTGGCTGCTTCTCTGATCAATGCTCTCCTCCTCCAGCTGGTGGATTTCCATGTCCTTGTAGACCCATCCTCTCTCCATGTTCAGATGGATCAATCTTAGCTCTGGAGATGTTCGTTATGGGAGTTTGTTCTAATAACTTAGGCTGCTGATGTTCTAAGGCTGAAACCAGAACACCTGCAGTTAGACCCTGACTTGGCTACACAGCGGTTTGGCTGATTAGGGACCCCATGAAACCAGGTGGTTGCACTGGATTTTATTTTAGGGATATCTGAGTAATGAGGGCTGAAAACCATGACTTTCCTTCTCCTCTGTGTTGTTCTGTCACCAAAATGAGATCAAGTGTAAAGGTGTGAATACTTTTGCGGGGCTTTTGCCGACCCCTGCATGCACAACGTGCAGCTCCCTGTGAAATAAACACTATGGCCTTTAAATTGAATTTGGGTTCTGCTGACAGGCGGCGGGGGGTTTCCCACCTTCTCCCACCCAGGACCACATTACCATCCTGAGGTCTGAATTCTGCATCTGTTAACCTCATCATTACTCGCCCATAGGCCAGCATGCCTCAAAGGCCAGCTTTAAATAGAGCTTTATAAATTCCTGATGGAATTAATAATATATGGATTTCACAACACAGAATGTGAAGCTGGCAGTGAGGCTGGCGCAGCAGAGCCAACCTGGAAGATGACAGCCAGCTTAGAGCAGGCGAGGATCTGCAAAGTGGGCATTGATTTTTTTGGGGGGATCTAATGAACATTACAGGCAATAAATGAAATTGTGTGCATACCTACCGTTCCGTATAACCTCCCACGGCTGTTCATTGCGACAAAAAACTCACTCTTCACTCCATAGAGGCTCACCACTCCCCTCTCCACCGTGGAGATCTCTATCAGACCTGGTGCAGGACACAGAGTGGTCGTGTTAGAATGCAAATAAATGAGAGATCATCCAAGCATCATCTGCAAATGTTTCATTCTGCCTGACTGGGAGCTGCGCGCTTTGGGTGTAACCTTGCTGCGCAGCATGCGTTGCCTTTGTTCCGCATCCGTCGCTCCATCTTTACATGGGCATCCTTGCGCGTCAATTAAGCGCGCTCTGGTTAGTGCAATTATTGCAGCAAATACATCTGACGTGCACTGCTATGCATTGGCGGGCGCTATGGCTCCTGGTGCGCCCTCACAGGGCTGCGTAAAAATAAGTTGAGTCTAAAAGCGTCCATACATTCATGACATGGTTGAGCTCGAAGAGAAGGGGGGAGGAGGGTGAGAGAGAGAGAGAGGGGAGATGAAGGAGGATGGGGGTGTTCAGTGCTGATGGATGCTTGTTTTTAATAGATATGTCTTTGCTCTGGAAGAAACTCAATTCTCCCTGTGAGTCGGATGAGATATGGTCATGCAAATGAATAGAGGGGATAGACTATCCTGCGCACCGCAGATCCATGCTCACTGCCTCTGCCTGTCTACTGCATTACATTGGTGGAGGTAGAACTCACTGTACTGGTTCTCATTATGTACACCGTTTATCCTGCCGTCGGGGAGGACCTGAAGGTGAAACCCGATGCCCACGTTGCAGTAGAGCCTCCGCACTCTTTTGATGCCCAGCAGGTAGTCAGTCTCCCAGTTCTGCTCCGGTTTCTCCCCGGAGATCCCCAACACGGAGCGGGAGAACAGGGTCTCCCATCGCTTCTCCAGCAAAGTTGCGTTCGTCCTGCCGCTCGGTAAAGGGTACGCTGACACGACCCCCAGCAGAAAGGCCAGGAGAAGCGCCGCGGTCAGCGTCCAGTGCGGCGTGCCGGCCTCGCAGGACATACTGACGAGGTGCCTTTGCGCAGCGGCCATCCGGTTTACCTTCGGGCCACGTGGTCGAAATTAATGACCCTAAAAATACCGCTCTTCTTGTTTTGCTTCCTTCGGCATGCTGGCTGAGGGTTATTTTTGGTGAGCGGATCAGGGCTCTGGGCATGAAACGCAAGCCCCGGTGAGGAGGAGGAGAGGAGACGGGAGAGTGCGCGGTGGAGCTGGAGGTGATGGAGATGTTGGTGGTGGTGATTACCATGTTTCGCAGCTCCTCTGCGCCCCTCTCTCCCTCTTTTTTCCCCCTCTCTCTCTCTCGGTCTGCGCCTCGGTGAGAGTCCACCAATCCTCCGGGCTGTCAGTCACCGATCAGCCTGCTTCTACCGCGGCCAGCAGATCGCATCCCTGGATGACATCATGGTGACTTCACTCGGCTGATAACGAAAAGCACCGAGTCAGTGTTGGGCAGCCTGTTGGACAGGAGCAGATGAAGCCTATTGGTGAGGATCAGCGGCCTGGGACGTGATGGGGCTGCTCCCAAATTGGGTCGGGCGGTCATATGTCCGAGGGGCCGCTTCCTTATTTAGAAAGAAGGTGTAAAAACAGGCCCACTTGTCACCGGAGAGCAATGACAGGGCTCTTGTGGTTCCCACTTCTTCAGCCGCGCAGATCAAGAACTTTTCCACGCAAAAATGTTTTGGTTTCCCCCCCCCTTAATCTATATTAAGTCAGGTGCGCCAGAGAGCCCCTTAGGGCGCAGGGGTCAAGAACCCCTTCACTAAGATCCAATCAGATTCAAAGTCTTTAAGGTGTGAAATTCTCATCAATTATTTGACTCTTTAGAAGAACAGAGCTATTAAAGGAGTCTGAGGAGGGAACTGACCAGTCTCGCAACAAAGCGGCCCTCATTCCATTCCCAGCATGCCATTATGAAGGCTGTCATCTCCTCCATGTAACGGAGAACACCAGCACCACCACCAGCAGCAAACCAGTGCGTCTGTGGGGTCGCACCAGCAGCTCTGAAGCGCACCACTTCCTCCATGCCTCCAAAGGATGGCAGCCTTTCCCCACCTTACAGACGACTGGACCTGAGCACACACTTCATGGATCAGGAAGCAAATGCAGCAGAAGTCAAATTTTAGAAATGCTATTTTTTTTTCCATATCTGGAAAAAAAATGCATGGTGGATTAATTCCACAGATACGTTTTTCAGTGCCCCCTTTAAGTCTTCTGACTTCCAGCTTAAGAAATAAGGTCCCAAAGGGATTTAACCTGGAAAACAGCATCTCCATCAGGCTCATCAGCTTAAAAAAGCATGGAGATCGCTAATATGTCCTGGTATGCCAGCAGATGACTTGGGAACTATTTAGGACCGTTAATTGTTAATTGGAGAAAACCAAACCCAATGAGGCATGCTTTGGTGGGGTAGTGGTTAGCGCACATGACCCATGTTTGGAGGTTTTAGTCCTCAACGTGGCAGACCCGGTTCAGATCTGACCTGTGGTCCTATACCACGTCTCTCCCTCTCATACCCTTTCCTATCAGCCTACTGTCCAAAAAGAGAGCCATTAGTGCTGTAAAAACTCAAAAAAATATATTCTTTGATGTTAGATTAACATTTCATATGAAACAGAACTTGTTTTTTTTTCATTAAGCTGGAAGAATCAAACAACTCCCTCTCTGTGGGATGACTTGCAACCTCATTTTAAATGATTTTCAGTTAAATTGAGGAGTTTCTCAAAGTGTAAAACTTTTACAGATTGCTCAGGGACGAGTCAGTGATTATGCAGTTCTTTTATTCGGTATAAAATCTATTTGGTAACTGCATATGTTTACACATCCAACAGATCTGTAACAGCTCACATCCCCAAAGATGAGCTGGAAAAAGTTCATATCAAAAATATTATATTTGGCTTTCACACAGTCTGACAGTTGGCACTTTTGTTTTTAAATCAAACATATTTGGTTCAGAGAAAAGTTTTCATCGACTCGGTTACAGATCTAACGTAAAAAGAACAAAAAGAAACCGGAGAGGGAAACAAAAACTAAACAAAGGAGAGAAAACCTCTACTGTGAGACCAGAGCAGATAAACCTCTACATTTTCATTTCAAATGGACATCTGATCAGCCAGATGCTGAGGTCTTTCCAGCTACAGTAGGAAATAAATTAGAGCTTTATAACATCTCTATACAAATAATTTATCTTTCACAGAAACAGCCTTCAACCCGGCACCAGACGATGCAACACACAGTCCCTTAGTTTAATACACACCGTTTAGTGAGAAAAGCATAATAAATAAGTACATATGTACAGAAGAGGTTAAAGAATAAAAACAAGCAGGCACTTGTTACAATGCCAGACAATTGGACACATTCTGAATGGAAAAGCTCCTGCTGGGTCCAAGGCTGGCATTTTGAGCTGGTTCTGGTGAACGGCTCCAACACTGAGCTGAATCAACGCATGAATCGGAACACGGCGGGTCAGGGCAGGGCCTTTAATAAACTTAAACCTAAAAAGAAAAAGAAAAAAACACACCGCAGCTTCCAGATCTTCACCCTCAAAGCTGAGAAGACAGACACACACGGGATGAGAGGCTCATCCACACGCAGCGTCTCTCCAGAGCGGTTGCTATGAAGACGGTTTCCATGCAACGCTACGTTAATCGTTTTACCACCACCTGCCCATCTGGATGGCCTAGATTGTCGTTTGGATATGCAGCAACATGCGGAGCGTCATTGGCAGCGGAAACTAGACCAAGCTGTGACCCTGACTGCGGTCCATGTCGGAGGCAAATACTAATGTAAACAGCATTAGAAGTCCTCGAGTCTAGAAAAGTTCTGCTGGTTTTACAAAGGACTTTAAAACGGCTACTCCAGTTGAATAAGAGACACTTTAGAAGCAGTGCAGTTAAATATTTCCCCTCAGCAGATTGCATAAAGTTCCCATAGGGATCAAATAGAGTCTGAAGGTATTCAAAGTAACTCTGTTCTAATGTTTTGGGGGGCGGGGGGCGAACACATTCCAGGGTCGGTTTAGCTGTTCTCCCCTTTTTAACTCTAAACTCTGATTTCGTACCAATATGTGTTTGACGTCATGTAACATTTAAAAAGGGTCGGCCTGTTCCCTAAGACTCACTGTGCCCAGCTGTTTTTTTAAATAAGGTCTGTTTACCAATCATGGAGAGCAGAGAAAACCTCTGCATAATGGCTGAATCGCAACAGTGATACAGGGGCTACACTCAAAAATATTTCACCTAAATTTTAAGATTTACACAACAACATACCGCTTACTTTTTTTTTAATTTTATTTTTTTACATAGTTTTAACACAAACCAATTATATAAACCTTACATGATGCATATTTATTAGTTTGTGTAATACTAATGAGTACTTAGTTCAAATACATAAAGCTTATTGTTTTATTAGCTTAATGTAACTCTGATTTTTATGCAATTAAACAATAAATTATGTATTTAAAATAAATAGAATAATTAGTATTCATTTTGAGAACTTCATTAGTTCTAAATTAACGGTCTGCAACCTTTAAAATCCAAAGCTTTGTTGACTGACTATATCCTCAAACTAAAACAGTTATTATTATCTTTGTTAAATATATCCTACAGATAATCTGTTTCCATTTAAACATCCTACAGTTTATTTTATTTATATTAGCTTTAAAATGAGGAAAATACTGAAACATTTCATAAAGAAAAAGAAAACAAGAAAATGTAAATTGTGGTATATTTTTTTGCATCTCCTTGAACCCCAGTCGGCCTCGGCAGATGGCCGCTCACACCGAGCCTGGTTCTGCTGGAGGTTTCTTAGGGTTAAAAGGGAGTTTTTCCTCTCCACTGTTGCTACAAGCATGCTTAGTGTGAGGGATTGCAATCGAGTCAATCCACTGGTTTTCCTTAAATAGAAAACTTTGAATCAATCTGACTGTATGATCTGGGAAAAAGTAAAGTGCCTTGAGATGACATGTGCTGTGAATTGGCGCTATATAAATAAACTGAACTGAATTAAAACTTTTTTTATTTGGTGTTTTAATGTCATTCTGTTGTGAACATTAATCAGTTATTTTTCTAAGGCCCACACGAAGCCGAACCCTGGCCTCTAGCACACATTTTTCACCAAACCAGACTCTCATCCACACGAAGCCGGCGTTTCGGGGGTCTGTAAACGATCTTTTTTTAAATTCAGCCTTCAGAGTGGGAAGATTCTGAAACGCCGTTTTCGCGTTTCCATCTTTAAGCTCTAACCGCATTTTTTTATTTTATTTTTTTTACACGCATGCCTCATAGCGTCGCCTCTAAACACGCATGCGCGACACAGTATCACAACAACAATGGCGCCGTACTGTGTTGAATGGTTGCTGCTAATGCTACTCACCCTGCTGTCGGGCTTACAACAGAATCTTCTTCTTCTGGAATATCTCCAGGAAGAACAGAGCAATATCGACGACATAGTTCAGCACCTGAATTTGACTTAACCACGAAAATGGACCCGCAGGGCAAACATGTATAAATATTAGTGCACATGCCCAACATTTCGTCGCCTATTTTTGCTTTGGCACGACAGCGCCACTTACAGGCCTGGCATACATTTTGCAGCGTTTTCATGTATTCGTGTGGACGATCACATTTATTTTACGTCTCCATCTTTACGACAAACGTTCTGGAAAATATTAGCGTTTCGTGTTCGTTTTGACTCCGTGTGGACGGGGCCTAAACCTTATATAATTTAATGTCACAAATGTAAAATTCATGTATTTCAAATAAATAGCTATATTAAACTAATGAATATGCATCATGTAAAGTTTAAGAGGTTTGTTTTAAAATTATCTTTTAAAAAGTTTATGGAAATTTTTTATGTAATAAAAATAAGATTTAGGTAAATAATTATGTATCATATCAGTAGTGTTAAAGCCTGACCTCCAAACTAAATGGTAATAATAATATATCCAAGTAAAATAGTAACAGGCAGGAGAGGACGTCTTTGTTTTCTTCAGAGTGAGACCATCTAGGACTCCAGCTCAGACATCTTCTACTATTGGCTTCTACAGTAAATCAAGCTGATGGTACCTGAGGACAAAAAATTGACAGAAATAAAGGTTTTAAAGCACAGCGTGTCGCACCTTGCCTACAGGTTGGCGTTTTCCTTCCCAAGTAACCTGCCAGAGACCATATTAGAACAAGGAATTCTGGGAAAACTAGTGCATTGATAATGAACCTGAATTAGAAATTACTGACGATTTCATCCTTAGTAACAAAGTCTTAGCTTCTGAGGTCCTTTTGGTCAAAGACGATGTGAGATGCAAGGTAGATGGCAATGGCTCCGAATATGGCCGAGGAGGCGATGTAGGTGGTGACGGATTGAGCGAACTGAACGATGGAGCCCATGAAGAGGGTTGGAATAACCTGAGAAAGGAGAAAGGTGCTGTCCAAGATGGCAAAGTCCAAGCCTACGCCGCGCTTCTCATATCCCGGATCGGCGTCATCCTGCTCGGGTCCGCCGGAGCAGGGAGGTGAGCCGTTCTGGCTTTGCTGGATGGGAAAGTATTCATAACTGTCCTGGCTGAGAAGGGGGAGTCTGTATGGAGTTGCTTTGTGGTTTTGGACTTCCTCCTCTTCCTCCACAGGACTCAAATAAACAGAATCCTGCATTGTGGTTAAGCCGTTGCTGTGCATGCTTTTGGTTTTCCCTTTAGGCATGTAGACCTGAAATGGTAAAAGGAAACAGTAAGTTGACGGACTCCCGTGCATTAAGCTGATATGCTGCATTTCTCTTGTTTTTACCTCCTTCTCCTTGTGGTAATGGCAGGTGAGGGTGTAGGGTAGAGTCTGCAGCGTTGCATATGCAAAGCCAGTGAGCGCTGCCATGGCTGTCACCAAGACAACGCTTTTGGAGAGGCAGATGACCAAAGCGGAGACTGTGAAGCTCACCATGCTGCTCAGGTAGACCCATCGTGATCCGATGCGGCGAACCAGTCGGCTCATGACCAGGGAGAAGAAGGTCGAGGTAGCGCACTGCA